TCTCGGTGATGTCTTTTAATTCATTATGCATAATATACATCAGTACCTATTTGCTCTCAGATAAGCTACAGCCAAAAAAAGCCCACATTTTTTTTTAAAAAGGCTTCAAAATACAGAAGGAAAACTGCAAAAATAAAATTAATAAAAGCCTAAGGGCTCATATAACAATGTTACGGAAACCAGCAAACTACAGCTTGATTTATGTAATCAGGTCTAGTGTGGGTACATTTTAATCTGCTTAGCGCACTGAAGGGTGAGCCTGCAGAGACTGGATGCCCACGACCTGTGGGGTCCATAGAACAGCCCTGATTCCTTGAGTGGGGTCCAGGGATTTGCATTTCAGAGAAGAACCCTGGGACTTTGCTATAGAGTCTCAGGCTCCTGCAGAGGCCCAGCTCAAGTCTTAATGCCAAAATCATCCTGCTCCTTGACCTTTGCTCACTTGAGAGCTAGCATCTAAATCTTGGTGTCATTCTGCCAAATTCTTGTCAGGCAGGTTATATTTCTTTGGATCCAAAGGGAACTGAACACTCTGGAGTTAATATATTTATTTTTTCAATGCAATTTTTTGTTAAATTTATATTCAACATTGATTTAAATTTTTGTAACTTTACAAGATTTTTCATATAAACATATTCACAAATCAGAAAACATTTTATCACAATCTTCCTGATTTACAATAAAGAAAAAATATATTTTACTCATAAAATAGGAAAGTTCTCAACACATAAGAGAGGTTCAGAGGTCAAAGACTGGCTCTGTTTAATATATCTTAATATATCTATTTAAAAGATTTTAATGCTATAAATGAATACTTGCTATAATGCTTGACATAGTAAAGCATAAGAAAATGCTGTTATAAATTAGCATTAAATTTGAAACAGTGACATTCTGAAGTACCTTTCAGCTCTTTCTGAATCTCTGCAAAAGCCGTAAGTCAGGAAAAAATCAGGCGTCTTTCTTAAGCTTTTGATCCTGACATTCTGAGAATGAGAAATAATGACAATAACATAGAAAACTTCAGATCAATAACCTTCAGCCTTCCCATTTTGTGATGGCCGAGAGGATAGACAGGAAGGGTTAAGAGAATTAGTATATATTTTTCTGGAATCCATCTACTCTTCTGACTCCCTCAGCAGGCCAGCTGAGCCTAAGCTCTGCCTCCACCCATCCTTCCTTCAAACCCTAACTCCTCATGTCGCCCTAGCCCCTTGCAGCCTAGCTGCGACACCAGTGGAAGGTTGTGGGAAGAAACCCTAAATGAGTTGAGTTTCTGTTGCTCATGGGAACCAAGGCGCAAAACAGAAATTGAGTTCAGTTATACGTTTAGTTTGTTCACAAAGATGTGTAGCTATTGCTCTGCCATAGCACCTAACTGGGCCCAGGTGGGTTTTCCGGGGCTGTTGCTGACACCCCATTATTGCGTGGGTCCCTGGATTCTGTGGGTGTTCGTGGCCAGAGCAGGTCTCCTTTCTTCCTCCTGCTTTAGTCATGGAGCTGAGCTGCCTGAGGGGCCCCAGGAAGTTCTGGTTCCTTTCCTCTCCCTCTCCTGGTAGGGGCCACTGTCCCCCTCTGAAGGTCTTACCACAGTTTGATCTGTGAAATATCAACATTGTCAAGATGAGTATTGTATACTCAGAGCTTTTGCAGTCTTGGGGGGTGTTTCCTATTTCTTGGAAAATATTTTTCCTGGGGAACACTGCTCCAGTTTTATAATACGAATCACTTGGGTAATTAGGGTTAATAGGCGGAATTTTGCTTTTCAGATTCTTTTTTCTCCCCCACAGAACATTTGGTCTGATTTTATAGGGAGGAATGTCTTTGAGGCTGCAGCCAGCAGCAGGGTCCAAATTCCTCTGAATTTGTATTTAAAAAAAAACCCCTAGAATCCTTTTTTCCTCCCAATATTTCTCTCAAATGGATGAGAGTGGAGCGTGCGTATAAAGGGGGAGATATGGGGCTCATTGGCTAGACTGAGTTAAAAGAAGTGAGTTTAATTCCAATTCCTGTGATAGGACCTGAGGACAAATGACCCCACTTTGTCTGTGAAATGGGAATGACACAGCCTATTGCACGGGGCTTTTGTGAGGGTTATATTAAGTCATATCTATGATAGTTATTTCAAAAAGTGCTGTGTGAAAGTAAGGCATTATTATCAGACAGCTAAGCAAAGTTAGAGGCTTTAATAAAACCCATCCTTCACTTGCTACGAGGAGACATTTTCTTACCATATTTGCCATTGAAAGTTGAGTTTTTGTGACGAGATGGCTCAGAAAGCAATAAAGATGATCAAATATGTAAAGGGACACATTTTACAAAAGGGATAAGTATGTTATAGACAGAAGCAGGAGACAATCTACTTCTTTTAAAGAGCCGTATCTATTTATAGCATACTTGGAAAAGTACTGAATTTGGGACTATGAGACCTAACAAAAGGGATCTGAAGAATCAGCGTGTCCTTCAGTGTAAAATGTGTCATCAGGCAAACAAAGATTAATAACAGTGGTGGTCCCGGAGGGAAGGGCGTGCACCGAGCAGCGCATGTGCCTGGAGTTTCACCCCGGCGTTCCCATCCCCGTGAGCCATGCCTGGCCCCCAGGAGGCTCTCCCGTCACTTCTGCAGAATGAATGTAATGAATGTAATGAATATAGAGAGGTTCAGGCGTGTCACTGAAGAGAGATACATCAATCAAGCTGATGTTATACCTGGATTGTCCAAACAAAGAGATACATGCTTGTTGATTCAGATTTATGAAATAAAGGTGTGAGCTAATTACAGTGGCAGACTGAGCCACTGTAATGCTTAGCTTCCTCAGTTATTACAAATTTTTGGCAGTCTTAGGGTCAGAATGCTCTTCTCAGATATCAGTTGTGAGTAGTCAGCCAAACGTCAAATGAAAGAAAACAAATCTCAGTGGAAAATGTACTCTCTTAGGGTTGGGAAGGCAAATAGGTCAGCGTTGTTCTGTTGTTGATGGCTGCTGTGGCATTCCTGCTGGGGATTCTAAGGATACATCCAGGGGATCTGTGAGTCAATCGATTGGAAATATTTACTATGGGCGCTGGAGTCAGTGATGGTACAAACAGCTCTTAAATGGGTTTTCAACTTGAAGGTTGAATTTGTAAGTGACTTCCCACCTGTTCTTCTGATAACAGCCTCTTGATCATTGTGGAATATGGCTTATTATGGTGACTCAAATTGGGGGGAATTGGGAAAGGTATTGCAAGATTGACAGAGACTGAAGCTCTATCACATGTGTTGGTGTATGTGCATCTCACAGCCTCTGCCAGTTACTTTGAGCCCTGTGACCGAGTTCTGGCCCATGAGACGTGAGGAGAAGTTGTATAAACCACAGATAGGCCCTGTGCCTTAGAAATAGCTCTTGTGACCCTCCAGCAAACTCGTCCATGCCGCCACCTTACACCTTGGAGCATTGTGCTCCAAATGGCAAACTACAAGAGCAAGTACGGCCCACGACCACCCTGAACTTCGTGAGATCGACACACAAACTTTATGGAGATTTTGGATTTTGTCTGTTGCAGGGTGAATGACTCTAATACATACTAATAATTATTATGGGAAGTGGTTTGCTATGGTGGATTTTGCCTTTCTAAATGTTTGCAAAAATCTGCTTCCCAACCTGCATCTCTGAGACAGCACGTTGCACTTTTGGTCTACGTCACCATTAGGTCAGGGAACTTTCCTAGGTCCAGCGGACTCTGTTTGCCCTGGGGTGGTGCAGAGCTGGGGCGGGGAGGGGGAGGGCTCGGTCCCAGTGCACCGTGTCTACTGTTCAATGGACTTATCCTTCAAAAAGTGTATTTCTAATAGCATCGTTCCTTTCCATGGATTTCTGTACCTGACCAAGTTAACTTTTTGCTTTAAACCAAATATCAAAAAACAAAAATTAAAATAAAACAATGTCAAAAACCAGCTGCTGTGGCATGGGTGGGCCTCTGTGTTCTGGTGCTACTGACTTTTCCTGGCCGAGACCCCTTCAGGGACCTCCACTGAGGTCAATGGCATTGTGTAAACATGCCTCTGTTTCCTATCTTTCCCTGGGTATTCTTTTTGATTTCTTATCTTTCTTTATCTGAACCCTACTAATTCCTAACCTTCCTACACACTGCCTCCACGGGGGCAGGAACAATCTCTCCTTTCCATGGGCACTTGCATCTGTAGCTGCCTGAAGACATTGCCATGCCCCCTTCTGGCGGGCACTGTCATTATGTACTGATGAGATTTATGGCAGCTCCTCCTCCTAGACCGAGTGCTTCTGGCCGGAGGGCAGATACAGCTACTGGCTTACTGTCCAGTGTTCTGCAGCATGCAGCAGAGTGTCTATGATACACTGAACAAATGAATGAATAAGTGAAATCCTCCTTTGCAAAGCTCTGAATTCTCCCTGTTTAAAAATGATGACATAGCCTCCGTAAAAATAGGAGACAGGTTAAAAAAGAACAAATGTGTAAAAAATTATAGCTCCGAATATACTAAAAACATTTTATTTACTCATGGTCTCAGGATGCTGGAAGGATTTTATCATTTCCCCTGGTCCGGTTCTTGTTTTTCCTTTTTCCTTTTTTAAATTGAAGGTCCACAGATGATTGTTTTTTATGGGAGTGAAGTAAAGGATGGAGATTTTAGATGGACAAAAATATAGAACTTTAAAAAAAATCTAATGCAATTACCATGAGGATAAACAGCTTTCTTCTCAACAGAGTGATTCCATAAATAACAGCAGAATTCTTGGTGTCCCACCAGTCAGAGGCTGCATGGCAGTGCCAATACTATATATATTTCTGGCTGGAAGAAACTATGGTTTGACAAGTTAATTATTATATAACAAGTTGGCTCTTTTAAAAAAAGCTATCTGGGAGGTTAAAACAACAGATTCGGAAAGATAAAGTGTGCATCCACATGTACATTTTCAAAACTCCGATTACACACAGTAGTTTGAGAGAAGTGGAAAAAAACAAGTTAGAAAAAAACAGTTTATTAAGTAATATCATATAAATAACTTGTTACAAAAATTGATTTGCAAAAGGCATATTTACTCTTTGTGAGAAATCACTTTTTAAATTGCATTCTTTTCAAATTTATACGTCTAAGAAAACAAAGGGAAATAAAAGAAGCCATTTCAGGGAGCGTGGATTTGCCGTTCGGACTCCAACAAAAGGCCCGGCCACGGTGAGCTAAAAGCTTAATTGTCTCAACCTGTCTCTTCTAATACAGAAAACTTTCTCGTACAACCTGTGAAGTTGGACAGTCTCCCTAACTAGAAACGTTGATGAAAGCTGAGTAGTGATGCTTCCCACCAGGTGTGCTCCTTGCCTAAGACCCAAGCAATCTTGCAAAAACGAAATGCACTGAGCACTGTAGCCAGTAAATCTTCCAGGGTGGCGTCAGCTTCCATTTGTACTTGGGAGTATTTTGAATTAGAAACAATCAATACCTGAAAGCTTTGATTTTGGGGGTTGAAAATCACAAATCACAGTAGGAGAATGGCCTCAGCTTGATAGTACTGAAGACGCGTGTAGCATTTCCTATAAGGCCTATTCTTATGCAGTTTGCTTTCAAAGCAATGAAAATAATCACAAACAAAACAGTACGAGGGATCTGAAGCATTCCTAGGTTTCTCCCGAGCTGATCAGTTTCACGTTTGCTGCACAGCATTCCCCCTGGATGCCTAGTAACCCTATACATTTGGCTCCTTAATAAACACTAAACTGATAGATCATAGAAAACTAAAAGCTTATAGAAGGTGCCTCCAGACATATTTACAGGAATAGCGCAGTCTCGCAAGAAAGACCAAGATCTCATTATAGTGGAATACTTTTTTCACAATGTGGGGCCCATGCCTCATTTGTCAAATTAACCCCATTTGAGGGGACATTTGAGTTTGTGGTCTATGGGTTTTCAAAAAAAATAGAATTAAGTAACTTGTAAAAGCTCTTCTGAAATTAATCTAATAACCCGGTGTCTCTTCAGCTAAGTGCCTCGGCCCTGTCTGAAATACGGTGGGTAATCGGCTCTGTTTCCATTTGACCTCCTTTTGGCACTTTCATCTGCTGGCTCTGGCGGGCTAATGTTCCCCCCAAATTAAACAATGAAAATGCATCATAAATAAGATATTATAAAATGGGGAGTAGATTAAAGATTGTCTCAGCAATGCTTAAATTAAATTGACGATGCAGAGACCATAAACTTGTGGCTTTAAAAATGAGCTATTTCTTTATTAACTTTTAACAAGTGTATGAGTCAATGTATTTCTTTTCTAAGAGGGTATTGCTCTGCACGTTAAATATGGCCGGGGTCTGATATATTTTAGTGGAAAATTATCCCTTTAGAAAATTATTCCATAAAGATGCCAGAGGGAGATTGAAATGCTGCAACTGTAATAGCGCTGAACTTCTAAGGAGACCATACAGGAATCCTGTGTTCTCTGGGAAAGAAAGCTGCTTGTCGGACTTAGGAAATGTTCATCTTCCCAGAGATCCACACATACAGTCTTAATCTTTCCACTCTCACAATCTGATAAAAGAAGGCTGACTTGTAGGGCTAATGTAAACGCAGTGGACTGCTTAGATTTTCAACCCCCTGTCACAATTCAAAGAAGATTTCATTTAGATAAAAACCTAAAAAACAAAATGACACTAAAATGATCCCTTTCAGAGGACCTTTCAAAATAGCGGGGATCATGACTTCTTAGTGTTCTTCCAGAGTAATTGTACTACTTCAGAATCAGAGACTAGAAAACAGTAATTTATTTGGTGGTGAATGTCCTGGGGAAAATCCATTTAGCTGTACCTGATTTAAATATTTAGTTTGTTGTCAGGATTCATCTCTGTTCTTTTCTTTCAACTGCATAGTCTTTTCATCCTCAAGTATACAAAACTGAGGAATGCTCAATCATGGTTTATACATTATTATCTCCAGTAAAATATGCGTTTCTTGCAAACATTTGACATAAGGTATTATTCAAATTAGGATATCTAAAATGTATATACTTGACAATGAAAAGAATGGAAACATTCTCAAATTGATTTGGATCCATCAAATTTGGATACAGATTCAACTTTTTAGAACTTTTTGCACACCTTTTTGGGAGCTGGACATGAAAACTCCACCAAAAATTTCTATACTGAGTTAAAATGGAATAGAAAATGGAGTTAATCTGTACCTGAAAACGGAGTCAATCTGTATTTGACCCTTCCTTTATGAACCTGAACCTTAACGCTAAGTAAAGCTCTGTAAAAAATAAAAAAGAAGAAAAGAGAACGAAACCCCCCACCTTCACTGTGCCCACAGCCCCCTCTTACGTTTCTCTGGAACCAGCGGTTCTTCTTCTCCCCCATTTGATTTAGTTTTTTATTTGGGGACAAACAGTTTCTAGGCCTTTCAGCAGAAAGTGGCCGTTTATGCACAATGGCGTAATGTTTGTACAGTTTCGGCTTGCTCCAGGGGACATCTTTGTGGTTCAGAGAAACTCTCCTCTTTGAGTAGAGGGGGCAAAAAACTCAGAAAGGCCTCCAGGTTCTTGAAACAACCCATAAAAACAATCTGCTAATATGTACTGAATGTTAGTTTCTCAGTGACAAAAGCAAATATTAAAATTTCACCTCTTCCCACTTTCCATATTTCTCATCACTAACCAGTAATATCAGGACAGAGACAATGTGAAAAGTGAGCTGAAAACCCATTTTCTTCAGTCATTATTCGCGTTGACCCTGGTTCTTGATCTGATATGTTGGTGGGAAGGAAGTTAGACCCAGGCGGAATGGAACTGTGATTCTTATTGTTTCCATGATGTTAAAGAGTCTTAATTATAGGAAAATATTACTGAACCTTGATGCTTACAGGACCCTGCTGCTAAATAATCAGCTCCAGTCTCAAATGATCCAGTGCCTTAGAGCTTGACGTCATCATCAGGTTTTGTGGTAAGAGATTAAACAGTTATTTCAATATTTAGTCGTATTAACCTGGGCTTGGTACATTGCATCATTTTCAGGACGGGACAAAATATCCTGCCAATTACATCTCAGATATCCCACTACAGCACTACTTAGTTGCACTACGAGGAGAGAGTAACCCTTACCCTTAACTATTGGAAGTTGCTAGTGTCAACCCTCAGCCATTCCAATTAGTGCCAAAAAGTTCAAAAGAAAGATTTCTGATGATAGCCTTTTTTGAAAGGACTTTCTTGATTCAATTTGTTATATGACATGAAACATAAGGATGGAGAACTCTTCAATTTTACAGTAAGTCATGTGATTAAGGTGCTCTTCTATTGCTATAAAGAACTACTTCTTATTCATTAACTTTACTAAGCTATCTTTTTTCAGTACTTACCTGTGACTACGACATGTATTGATTCATTACAGTAAAGCCCTCCTGTAGTATTTTGTTTGCACTCCTGTGTGTGTGTGTGTGTGTGTGTGTGTGCATGGTTTGTGTGTGAAGAACTAGCAAAGAAAACCATAAGAGCAGGAAATAACCCAAGCATGAAATACTTGATAGTATCTAGGAAGTACTTTACAAAATAGGAAAACATTCAGGAAACACAAGGAATAATGTGGTTGTAAAGTTTTCCACTCTCAATGGGTAATCTGAAACACTACATTTCTCTTATTTTAAAGGTGCCCTGTTCAGTTCTTGGGTAATATGCTTATTTAAAACCTAACGAGATGACAGTGTGTTTCCAAATAGAAATTATGTGCTGATAGGACATTGTCCCCAAATGGATATGACACTAAGATTATCTGTAGAAAATTAACATTAATTGAAAATAAATCTCTAAGACTAATAATTGAAGTCAGCATATTCTTAAGTACATATATACAGAGCCTACTTTTTTAAAGTTTTCAAAATAATTATATTTTCATTACAGTACTTGGGAAATTTCTGATGACTGCACGTGAAGATTCTGATGGTAAAAAGCATTCGAACAGCCGTATGAAATCAATGATTTGAACCTGCCAAAGGAATAGTGCAGTTCAGTTGGGTCTTCCGGATAATAACTCTGATGCTAATTGCATAATTAGGGAAATAATAGATTGGGTGGATTGTACATTACTTTTCTGTCATAGTTTGAGACCATTACTTTATCATTAGTTCAAAGACAGAGATAGCAGGGTTGCTATGGAAACAAAGTGAAAAACAATGAAAACATATTAATGCTTTTGAAAGTCAACTAGCATTTAAATGCCAATCTTAAACACTCTTGGTGTAGGGAATCCAAGTTTTCCCTTTGTAAGCGTCTTTCAAGCATGTCATATGTAGATTTTCACTGTGGTTTCAATGTCCATCCATGCCTATCACGTTATATAAATATATAAATGTTTCTGTATGTGAAGGACAGGGTGTCAGGTTCAAGTGTGGCTGGCTCTTACCACCCCATTAAACTCCGAGAGCGGGATTGAGGTTTTATTTCATCTGCCTTTACTAATGCAACTTAATTTAGTAAGAAGTATCTGAAGAATATGAATTATTGTACTTCACACTGCTACTTTCAAGTATATATTAGAATAATACTGACAACAACTACAGACAAGGAGTTAAAATTTATCTCAGAAAAGTTCTTTCAAGAACTTTTAAACAGTTAGACTTATTTGTAATTAACCTACTGATAGTTGAAATCATTTCAAGTGATTTGTGGTACATTTGGTGGCCCAGACTTTAAAATATGCTAAGTATTTCCTTTGTTAACATTATTAGCTATTTTCCCTTTTCCTTTATATGGTATAAGGGCGAACTTTTGTATGTGTCATAAATAAAAAATTATGAGTGAGTGGGAAGGAATGAGGTCTTATAATTATTACTTTTTTTGGTTGTTGTTTTTGAATGTTGCTGTTTAGTTTGCTTCTGTCCCTACAGAGGAACTAGAATCTTAAAACATTGGTGGACTTCATGCTTTGAATAGTCATTGGTGCCAGAAAAAGTTCTTGAAGAACAAACAGGATGGGCAAATGTCATTTAAAAATCTTTGTGACAGAAGTACACACCCATATAGCTGATACACCAGGAACAACTTCGCGGTCGTTCCTCCCTCCTTCCTTTGACTAAAACTGTATTTTATCATTCGAGAACAATCCCTCCTCCCATCAGCAGGTGAGAGGGAGGTCGAGTCGGAGCGGTCGGCCACCTGATGGAGTGCAGTGGAAAAAGCCAGGCCAGGGGAACCCAGCGGGTCCCACACACCGGCCCCACGAGAGCTAGGGAACCTCTCCCTGCTCTCCGTCCTCGCCTCCAGCACGTGCCTGTGGGCTGACATGGCTAACTGGATGCACTAAAAAATAAACATGTGCCTCTTGGGAGCTCAAAAAAGTGTACTAGAAAACAGTCTCTAACATTGGATCCACACGACTGCAGCCACTGGCTTTGCGGGACGGGCAGAACAGAGAACCAACCCTTCACGGAGCAGTGGATAAATAGAAAGCAACAGCCACTTCACACAGTTCAGTGCCGTCTTGTAAAAGGAGAAAGGCAACGTATTAGGAGTCCTTGTCACTGTCCGCCCCTCCGTACATATCGGCGAGCTTCTTGAACCGAGGCCCCCAGTCACTAAGGTAATCGTAGTCCTGGTCTCCCTCCGTGGTCACCGACTCCAGCGAGCTCAGGGAGTCGGCCACCGAGCCGGTGCCCTCGTAGGCGTAGGTGGCCAAGGAGTCGTAGGGCGGGGCCGTGGGGTCCGCGTCGTTCTCCTTCAACCTTTGGTTAATGAAGTCTCGGACGTCCGTGTTGTCTCGAGCTGCTGGAGTCCGTCGGGGGAGGAAAAGGGCTTCGGGCACAATGTCCCTGCGCAACTTGCTGTCCTCTATGGCTTCGGGATTCCTCAGGGTGCCGATATCAAAGGCCTGGGTGTCCTCCTCGCCACCGCCCTCGTCGTTGTAACTGACAATATTGTCTCTGATGTCCTCTTTGGAAATGATCAAAGGCTCTTTCTTCCGCTGCCGCCGCAGAGCTGCAAACAACACCACCGTCACTGGAGGCAGAAACAAGACAGAAAGGGAAGCGGAGGTTAATTTGCCACCCAATTAATGCCGGGAAGACTGCGCTGGGCTCCAACTGCAAGTTTTAAAAGTCCTCGAGGAAAGTGCAGACTCAACTTTTATTTCTTTAAGGGTGCAGTTGCCTTCATGCATGATCAAACCGGGACCCAAAAGAAATAGGGTAAATATTTGAAAGAAGGCAGCAATTTAAGTAGAGGATGAAACACTGTCATATTTTGTCAGTAGTTCCTTTTTGCTTTGAAAGAACAAACTAGTTTCAAGGTAAGGAAAAAGATAAAATACAGCTCAGCCAGAGTGCGAGTACTGCCATAAGAGTGCAAATTATGCTGAACACCTAAAACGCTCCGAAACTGCTTAAAAGCACAAGGCTGGCACCTTCCAAATGTGTTGGAGGTTTGCATAACTCCACATCTAAAATAACTTTTGCACTATGCCTTCCTTTCTGTTTTCCTGAGAAAAGTGTAAAATTAGTTTCGAACCCGAAGTGGAGATGCGAATATTTGCATACCCTCCCCAGATAGGAGGAAATATTGCAGATCGTACCTGGAGAGACCCAGATACAATCCATAAAGCCATCTTGGACTTCGAGAGCAGCCCAGAAAAGGGGTCAGGTCGTAATACACATGCCAGATTATTTCTGCTCAAGCTAAACAAAATACACACATTTTCAGTGGGAACTAGGAAAAGGAAAAATCTTTCAAAGGTTCATAAGTTTGTTGTATGGGTGTTCATTCTTTTGATTTTTCCTCTGAACTCAAATTAGAGACAAACCAAGAATTGTGTTTAAATAGCTCCTGATATTTCTTCACAGCTGGCTGGCTAGAACATAGCTGGCTACCTGCAGAGAGACACATCTACAAACAGACATATAGGTGGGAAATAAAAACATAGCAACAGCTTAGAGAGAAAACCGCTATCCAGGGCAGAAAATGCATTGTTAAAATGGGTTTGTCTGGGGGAGTTTATTATAGGAAGTACCAGTAACGTCTCTTTCTTCGCTCATCCATAATGTGGTCACATGTTTTTTTGAGCCATGAAAATTGAATTATCACAATAAGAATCATAAAATAATGGCTTTTGGTGGATATGTGTACCAACCTATATAACAAGGGGTACATGCATAGTCTTGTGTCTATATATTAACATTTTAGATGTTAATAATATTACTAATTGGTTATCTATTGGGAGAGTTCTATGTGTCAAGCACTGGGCTAAGAGCTTTACATACTGATCTCATTTAATTATCACAATAGCACTACAAAACAGGTACCATTATTTTACATAGAGGAAATTGAGGGTTAGAGATGTCACATGTACAAGCAACTGAAATCCAACCCAGCAGACGGACAAGCCCACACTCCACCCCGCTTTCACACCTGTTCGGATTATAGGCCATTTTTCAAGGATATGCAATTTTGTCTTTCTCTAATGTGTGGTTGTGTTATTGTTTGCATTCTCCTTTGCTGCCAGAGAATATTCTGATGCCTCATTTGTCACATCCATTCAGGCGATTCATTCATTCGTTCATTTGGTAAGTATTTATGTAGTGCCTACTCTGTGCCAACCACAGTTCTAGGCACTATCAACTGAAAAGCTGACTGAGACCTCCGCCCTAATAAGGTGGGCAGGTGGTGGTGGAAGATGGAGACAGAAGATAAACAATGACACAATAAACAAGGAAATTATTAGAAGGTGATAAGTAGGGCAGAGTCAGGAGTGTGGGGGTGCTTCTATGCATGTTTGAGGGGCTGTATATGTTTTTGGGGGGATAGACTGCATCTTTGAGAAAGTGACATTTCAGCAAAGGTATGAGGAGTCATCCAAGGAGCTCTCTGGTGAAGGGAACAGGGCTAGAAGGTCCTGCAGAGTGCCAGGACAGTGCCAGGGGCATTTGAGGAACAGCCAGGAGACCCTGTGGCTGGTCCAGGAGCCCAACAGGAGAGCATAGGGAAGGGCCGCCTCGTGTGGGGTGGTGAGTGCTTCTCAGCCTTCGCTTTACTCTGGGGTCCGGGTGAGTGAAAATCGCAGGCCTTCGGGCAGAGGGAGGGCCACAGTATTCCTTTTTATTCTGCTTTGCAGTGCGATCAGTGACCTGGATTTGCAAACAGAATGTTGCAATAAGAACAGCTTTGGGATTAGAGAATAGAATCAAGCTAACTTACTCTCAACGAATTACACTCTGATGCACATGGGTGTGTTCCCTTATTTAAGGCAGGTGTTTATCACTTCCTAATTCTTTCCCCAGCTCAAGTTACCTATATCTATTATTTTAGTCCTATTCGCACCTCAAAGTGCAGTTGTGCAGCTGAGGGCACATTGTCCTTAAAAGGCTTTTACTCATTGCCTACTTCTATAGCTACCACTGCCTGTATCTTTTCTTACTAGCCCAGTGCACATCTGAACCAAACTTCTCGATAGCGTAACTGTCTGGAAGGGAGGCTTTCCCAAGCTACCTTCTCAAAACTGAACCGTGAGATCTAAGCACAGGGGACAAAAAGGTTCTGAGAAAGTAGGTCACCGGGGAGGTGCCCTTCGAGGTCACAGAGCCTCCCCCTTTCCCTCCTCCCTTGGGACCAGAGGACAGCAGTGAAATTATTTCAGAGGAGGAGATCCTTGGAAGAATTTGTGCTCCAATCCCATCATAAAACTAGAAAGTAGCAAGCCATTTGAGATCAGGCTTACGTAAAGGATTTTTGACCTTCCTAAGTTGGTTTCCTTCTCTGAAGAGAGAAGCAGTAACACGATGCCCATTGTTGTTGTCAGGAATGAGTTAATTCCTGTGGATGTTTTGCAGGCTCTAAAAGTAGCCCAGAGACAGGGGGGTGTGGTGGTTGTTTTACTGTTGTTTTATTTTTGGAAATATTTGTGTTTTCTTTTTGGAAATAAAACAACAGGTGCCACCGTGTCCACTTCTTGACCTCAGATTCCCTCCTATATAAATACGGCTTTCCTTCTCTTGCAAACTCTTAGGTTTGCCTGCACTTTCTTCACCTGTCCCCTCTTCAGTTCTGGCTCTCTTTCAGCCTGGAAGGTGCCCTGCACGCTGTCAGCTCACAAAGAAAGTAGAGTGCAGTGTGGGAGCACCAAGGCTCGGGGAGAGAAGACCTGAGTTTGGGAGTTAATTCTATCACCTGCTCACTGTGTGACGTGGCTATGTGACTGTGCATCTTGGAGCCTCGGTTTTCATATTTACGATTCATGTAAATATACAATGGGTGGTGCTGAGGAGTAAGTGAGAAAAACATTTGTAAAGCATCTTGCTCAGCATATAGCTCATGATGTGAGCCTAGTTAAAGGTTAAATCCCATTTTTCTCCTTTCTTATTAGGTACAGAATTCCGAAGAGATTAGACAGGATGTGGGAGGCCCTGAGACAAATTAGGAGTAACGAGGAGAGAACAAATTCAGTGGAGGAAAGGGTGAAAAGGGAGGATACAGGGAGCGGGTGAGGAGGAAGTAAAGGGGGAGGAAGCTGTGGGCGGATGATGAGTGAAAGGAAGAACCACCTCTAGGAGATGCGAGTCCACGGAACTCCACCTGAGTATAGCCCTGCCCGTCCAGCCCTTCTAAAAACAGCCTTTTAAAATATATATATATATATAAAATATATTCATATCCTTGTCCTCCAAAACAATTTTTACAGACTCACCAATAGAAACACCAATTTGTCTTTTCATACTGTCAGTTTTTATTTATCCTCATATCTTAAAATACTTCCCCCAAAGATTAGATGACAGAGAGAATCACAGTTCTGTAGCTGAGTTTCCAGGTTTCTGTGATAATGAGCAAGGCTGGTCTGGAACGTGAAGCTCTTGAGCAGAGATCCCTAGGTATCTTCATTCTCTTCCTGGAGAAACGTGGGTCTTCCTTTACTCTTCTCAAAGTCACTATACTGTTATGTTTTTTTTTTAAGGAGTCCTCCCCACCCTGTAATCCAGGTTAACTCTAACTTCTTTCTTACTTTTCTTCTCCCATTGCGCAGGCAAGCTATACAAATCTTGCTTTTATCTTTGGAAGGGCTGCATTAGCTAACATTTGGTTTCTTAGTTCACAACAGTCAAGGGTCTGTAAGCATTTCGAGCTCAAACTGTGTGCCTAATTTGTTGGTTGGGGGTAAGACAGTTCATTTGAATCATTGTTAGACCTCGATTTTTGCTTTTATTACATTCAATATTTTAGGTCCCAGATATATTGCCTCGGTCACAGAAGTTCTTTATCACCAAGAGTCTGAGAAATAGTAGACATTAGGTTTGGCAATTATAGAGCAATGCTAAGAAGGTGGTCATTTCAGTGGGTTTAAGTTCTCTGGGTCTGAGAAAATTTAATTGCTTTTTGTTTTTCTGTGTGAGGCAGGCAAAGTCATCATGCTCCCCTTCCCAGGTTCCCATTGACTCTTTATGTCTATCACCTTCATTAACACACCAGTCGTGACCGAAGAGGAAGAGTTAACTGCATGACAAATACTTGACGACAAGTTTTAAAAGTACAATATCTACAATATAGGTATTTCGCTACAAAATTTAATATCTCCCAAATGTTTTTCAGTCCCAGGTTTTTAAAAACATTTTATTGCAGACACTGTTACAGATGTCCCCATTGCCCACCCCCTCCTTTAGCTGGCCTCCACCCAGCCGCTGCCCCCCTTCCCTCCGGCCATCACCACCCTGATTTTTAAACTTTACCTTTACAGAAAGGGCCTTCATCAGATACTCCATGCAGGGTGATGTTCACGCTTTAAAATTTAACAATGTTTGTTAGGTTAACTATTAACCAACAAATGGAGTGAGAAGGGCGTATTCATGTTGCCCTTACATCCCCCTGAGGTTCATTCCCAGTCTAACAGGCAAGAGATTCTTTTGGTGCAGTGGGTCCCCGGGTAGGTGAAAACATGGGCACATTTCACAGCTTCTCATTCTCCAAAGCCACATTCAAGCAAACACTAGTTCATGGTCGGACAACACAGATTCTCAGCATACAACTCTACTCACCTAGATCGGGCTGTATGCCTTAATGGGGGAGGCGGATAAATCTAGAGTGTCACAGTGACAGGGTGTGCCCCTCAGCCTGGGGAGATAGGAGGCGGGGAGAAGCAGTTTACCTAGTAGGGTCACGATGCACAGAAGGATGGCAATCAGAGCCCCCGTGCTCAGTCCCGTGGGGTGGACGAGGGCCTCCGCATGGCAGGACTGCATGTTCCCGTGGTGGTCACATGCACAGACCCGGACAGTCACTGTCCCAGTGCTGCTTTGGACTGGGTAGTCGTTGTCTGAAATGACCACAGGCAGGAGATAGGTGCTCATCTCGTGTCTACTGTAGCCGTTTTTCCGAGTTAAGATTCCTGCTGTGTTGTCTGGAATGGGAAAGCAAAGTGGTGAATGCACGTGGGTAACGCGTCATGTATTGGAGCAATTGGGAGGGGCTGGACGGATACAGGTAGAAATAGCCAGACCGAGGAGGTCAGTTGCGCTCATTTACCTTTGTTGTCCCGAATGGTAAAGTTTGAGCTGCTGGCTGCTTCTGGGGCCAAGGAGAAGGAGAACTGGTGCCCACTGTAAGGGTCGTCCTTGTCAACAGCTCGGAGGGTCTGAATCAACTACAACCCAAATCGTAAAGCTGTCACAAAGTATGGCTAACTCAATGTGTTTCTTACAGCTCTGCAGTGAATTGCTCGGCTAAATAATTTCTAATTTTAGTTTAAAAAACGACAGCCTCACCATGGAGGGATAGCTCAGTATTAAAGTGTCTTCCCGAGACACCAAGGCTGTGGGTTCCATCCCTGCTCGAGGCACGTACAAGCGTCAACCAGTGAATGCATCAGTAAGTGGAGCAACTGGTGGATGGTTCTCTCCCTCTCCCTTGTTTCTGCTCTCTCTCCAAATATCGATCAATAAAAATATTTAAATGAAAACCTCTAAAAAGTTTACAATGACTCCTAGAGTGATACAAAGCTGTAAAACATCACAATGATCTGTGAACACCGCAGTTTAAGGACATGGAGGCACTCGTTGGCCAGCCTGGCTAGAAATGCAGTCTGGCCACAGATAAAAGCCATCAACTTGCAGAAAGGCTAAAAAGAATATTTGGATATATAACACATAACTTCAGCCTCCCACTTTCACATGTATTTTAAAAGTGTACTTCCATTTTGACAAACTGTAACATAATTTTTATATCACTGTCAGAAAAGACCTATTTTAGATGGGGACATGTGTAAAACATTCATGAATTTGCTTTGCTTGTACAGATGGGCATGCAAGAGAGTGGAATTATGGGTTACAGGCATTTGTAGATTATGTTCTAGTTATTACTTTGCAGTATATGTGGTAATTAAAACTCTCTGCTTACCAATAAAGATATTTTTCCAATAAAGCTGTGACTAATCTATTTTAATGAAAACTTAAGACTGATTTGAAATCAGCATCAGACTGAGACTGATGAACTTCCAGTTCTTAGAAGCTGTTTATTGTCTTATGCAAGTTAAATATTTATCTTGGTTCTTATTTACAGTATTAATTTTGTTAACGTTCAGTTCCTAGATAATTCAAAATGGGCCCTTAGTTCGGTTTATCATCTGAATTACTAGAGGATATAAATTAGTCTGACTAAATTAGTTTACTTTTGTAGGAAACTCACCTGATCTGCTTTTGCTTTCTCGCAGACGAAGGTTTCATAGAATTCTGCAAACTCTGGGGCGTTGTCATTGACGTCCAGAACCTTGATGTACAGAGGAACTCGGCTGCTCTGCTTCGGGTTATCTGCAAAACGCCAGATGCAAAGAACAGACACATTTATGTTGGTCCCCAGTCCCCTTCAGACAGCAGCCACTCACTCCTTCTTTCTCACTCGGATGCAGGTTCCCCGAGGCCACTGTGAGTACCAGAGGGTGTTAAGTACCAACATAGTCACAAAAAAGTAGAATCAGATTGTTCGGTGCTTCTGGTCGGTTAGGTACACCTGACGGAAAGACCGAGGAGACACAGCTCTATGTGTTGGTGTAGTGCAACTGTATAATGAACACCAGAGTATAAAGAAAAGCTATTTTGCAAAGGTACTCTAGAGCTGGATTTTCAAGGAAGCCAAGGCAGGTGGGGAAAAGGTGGACAAAGGAAGAAGGGGTGGTGGAGATGAATGACTGTTACTGGTCTCCGTTCTTTTAGTGTGAGTGCTGAATAAGAGCTAGACCTTGTGCTGAACACTTGGCTACCTTATCTTATTTAATCCTTGCAAACTTCTGAGATCATGCCTCCATGGTACAGGTAAGGAAACTGAGGCACAGAGAAGTGAAGTGATTTGTCCAGCGATAGTAAGGTGTGGAGCCTTGGGTGTCTGTGACTCCAATGCCCAGGCTGTTCATCTATAATGATAGAGCAGAATCCAGGTTTGAAGACCTGAGGCAAAGAGAGCAATTGGGTTGTCTTCTATGACAATCTCCAGGGTAGTGTGACAGAAAGATTCCAGGTCCAGGAATCAGGAGTTGGGGCCTCTCACCTCAGCTCACTTCATTTGCTTTATTCATATATCAATTTGTTCATTCTCTTGATAAATATATAGTGAGCATCTAATATCTAACTTGCGCCAGCCACTATTTGGGGTGCTGGAACACATGGGGAACACGGCAAAGATCCTGCTTCCTGAAGCTCTACTCTAGTGTGGGTAGCAAACTGTAAACACATAAATATATCATGTATCAGATGGTAAACACTATTGGAAAAGTTAAACAGGGGAAAGGAACTGGAGAGGGATGGACGTGCCACGTTGAATGCGATGACCAGGGACGGCTTCTCTGATGAGACACCGTTTGCACAGACAGGAATGAAGAAAGGGTTAAACCACGTGACTATCTCTGGCTCTGCAGATAGAGGAGATGGCGGGTGCAAAGGCTCTGGAGTGGGAGTCGCCTGGACTTAAGTTCTTGGTTTCTGGTACAACCACGGTAGTTAAGAAGGGCGACTTTTAAGGTGCTCTGCATCTGAAATTTTGCTCACACTATTCTTCCAAATTTGGAGCTGCTGAAGTTGAAGTGTTAAAAGGTCTTCATTACTAGTGATTTCAAGTATATCATAGAAACCTTAAATCTTAAAAACAGAAAATTTTAGGCACAAAGCTTAAAAATGTGTATGAAATGACTACTTCAGTGAAGAAAGCCCCGATGTTACAGAAAATGGTACTTTTTGGTGGGAAATGATTTTATAATTTCACAGCTTCGAGTATGTTCTATCACTGGTATCCACTTAGTGCATCCACATGGGAACTTCTGAAGAGCAAATTCCTATGTAACAAATCTATAATGAAGAGTTGTCATTGCTGTCAAAACCCAGGGCTTCGTTTTGCCCATATTGGTTATTTATTATTACTCAATGTCTTTTGGCCACTCAAAAGCCTCATGAGTTATACTGACAAAGAATACAACTGTCATATACCATTTGATGTGGAATGTTTCACACTAGATACTCAGTTGAGCTAAACATTTGAAAATAAATTTTTTTACTTTTAAAATAAAAAACAAAAAATCAAAAGATGTGCCATAATTTAGAAGCCTATTTTTAAACATTTAAACAATATTTTAAAGATCATTTTTCTTTCGTGCACTTAGATCTATGCATGGTGTTTACATTGCACAGTTTTCACCGCATATAATCATTTTATTTGCAGCATTCCTTTGGCACTGTTTTTCTCTGCCTTAAATTTTGTGGGGACTGCCATAAAATTCATTCTAAACATTTTATTGATTACTTGGTGGTTTGTGTTGCTCATTTTGGGTGCACCATGGAAAAGTTAAAATTTATATCTCTTAATGCTGTAACAATTTTGGAATAGCAATTCCATAGAAAGACACAGGATGAATACCCAAAAGATTTCTAAACTATGCCTACATTTAAGAATATATTTGAACCCCCATGCCCACATACACAATGTCTAATGGTGAGCCCATTTTTTTCCAGCTGCTTCTGTAACATTCTGATTTATGCACTTTTGGGGTCTAATCCAACATATACTAATTCAATCCCAGTTGACACGGATCCCTTCCCATTTTGTTTCTAAGCTGCTGCACTTCTGCAGTGGCCTCTGCACTTGTGAATGAGCCAACACACATCTAGAAGAAACATTATTGCAAATAATTACGGGGCTTTTTCCCTCAATATGTGTTGAGCAAGGTCATCATGTTGAGCAAGGTCATCGATGCATGGGGATGAGTTTTAGGTGTGCATCCCTGGCCCTGGCTGGGACTCGCCCTCTGTGCCCCGGTGGCCCAGGTGCTAAGGGGCTGACTTACTGATTTCTGTCGCGATCACGGTGATGTTGTGCCACAGCAGCGCTTCTCGGTCAAGGAGCTTCGATGTAAAGATGGAGCCATTTCCGGAATTAATGTTGAATATCCTGTCCAAGTCTGTATGTCGATCGACAGAATACCTGCAAAGGCAGAATAGAATTTAAGAAGGTTTTCTTTTTTTTTTAAAGATTTTATTTATTTACTTTTAGAGAGGGAAGGGAGGGAGAAAGAGAGAGAGAGAGAAGCATCAATGTGCGGTTGCTGGGGGTCATGGCCTGCAACCCAGGTTTGTACCCTGACTGGGAATCGAACCTGCGACACTTTGGTTCGCAGCCCACGCTCAATCCACTGAGCTACAGCAGCCTGGGCTAAGAAGGTTTTCTTTGTATTTGCTATTCTCATATCCTAAAACTGTTCCAAGAATATCTGTTACTTGGAATTTTTTCTACCTGTAATGTATATTTGAATATCTGTCACTTAACATCAAGCAAAATATTCTAAGAAATTAGTTGTCGACAACTGAGGTCTTATCAGTAAAGCCCCAGACAAGTTGCCTGATTTTGAGTATCATCACTGAATTTTTTTATATGTAACTTAGACTAAGGAGGTATAGTGATTGTTATAATTTAACTCAAGCTTTTAGAACCTCAGAACTTTAATTTTAATGTGTGTGTATTTGTATGAATAACTAGGATTATTGACTATTTGTCTAATATTCATTTTATTTTAGAAGTTGCTACGTTGAAAGAAGCAAAAGATGGCTGGCATGGCTGAGGCTGGTGAGAACGGAGACGGGACAGGAGAAGAGCTTGGGGGGAGATCCACCGGCCGGGCTGGACCGTGGCAGGACGCGCTGGCTGCGGTAGGGAGCTGGGTGGGACTTGCGCTAAGAGCAGTCTGACTCTACCGGTGGATATGAAACAGGAGAGAGTCCCAACCGAAATCACGTTTCACAAAGATCCCTGGTTGAATCGAGGAGACTGGTTGGACAGTGCTGACACCAACTCATAGGCGTTTGTGAAGAACAGGATTTGGGGCAGGCTGTAAGTTCTAGTTTTGATATGTTGAGACTTAAAGTGCATAAAACATCCAGGAAGAGGTAGCTAGTCTGAAGATGAAGATCTGGACCGACAACCTCAATGGCCTATTCAATTGTCTAGAAAGCAAGTGTCCGGGGAAGGGAGAAAAATGCTGAGGACAGAATCACTTAAAGGACGAACAGGACAACAGAGATGACAGGGACCAGGACAGCGCCCAGACCAGAGGAGCCTGGTAAGTATTTAAGGAGCGTGTGGGGTCTGAGACACCGAAGAGCAGAGTCTTCAACACTGAAACTGGCGGAAGACTGGTAGATTTTGAGAACTATTATTCTCTTTGTAAATCGATTACTGGTTTTTGGAATGCCTGTGTAAGGGGAAAATGTACGTACACTGTTTTATGGAGGGAATGTTAAAGAGAAAACTCAGAAGGAAGTTGATATGTTAAGGCCCAAAACCGCCCATTTCAGTTGGATGCTCAACATTTATTTCATGGTAGGTGATTTAAAAACATTGACTCAGTAGAAATGCAATTTAAGTAAATGACCTAATTGGTCATACACATATAAAATTATTATGAAAATTTTAAGAAAAATAAACCCTCGTTACTAACTTGTAAGAGTGTTCAATGTCTGATATTATCTTTAAGTTATTTTATTTTAAAATATAACTAGTGAATTATAATAAACAATCCATTTTATCTTAATAAAATCTATTTTTTGTCATTTAGCAGGAGTCAAAATGAAACAGATATCCAATTGTTGTGGGCGATGGGAGTCTGATTTTAAGGCGAATGAATGAAGACCCAATGGATGTGCATTTATCAAGTTGGGTTAGACTTTTTGTTCCAGTTTACATAAACCTCATATTTTATTATCAAAGGGATGAAAGCAGATGACACAGCGATTGTTTTTTCCTTTTATGTCACGAATCCACATTCATTAAGCATTTAGGCGGCAGCATTGAACTTGCCCGATCACCTTTCTTCATTTTTAGTCTGGGAATGATAAATATTTACAGCACACAATTAATTACCAGAGAGAAAAATCTCAATATTCATAAACTTTGTACCAAATGAATAACGATCTACAAATATATTTTTTCCTCGTGAAAAACGTCAACCTTAGGACCCGCTGCTAACTGACTTTACAGGCTGGTGCAGCTGTGTGCGGCACCGTTCTTGCCCTCTGTTTCTGTTCCTCTCGCCATCGTTTGCAGTTTTACAAGGGATCGTGTTATCCCATCCAGCCTTGGAATAAAGGGTGAAGTAGGGTAAGAAACTTTTAGTTGAAGGCAGCTTTTGATGTTAAAGAAAAAAATAGCCATTTTAAAGAAAAAAGCCATTTTTTCTTTAAAAATACATACCAAAAATGTGTATTTTTTTCCTTGAATTGGGAGATTTAAATATTAATAGAAAGCCTAAAATGTCTATATTGTTTCAGAAAGATGTTTGCATGCAAGACTTACTTATTTGTTGTTTTTCTTTCCCAAATGTTTCCAATTTATATCCAGGCTATTTACTGTCCGATCACATTAATGGTAATCATAACTAATAAGGAACAAGGTAATCAATCCTGCTTTGATTGTAGCTGATTGTTCTGCTAGGTAGCTCTTTCTTTCTTTCTAAAACTTTATTGTATTCTTGACTCAATAATTTGACTTCGAATTCATCTTCAAGTCAGGGAGATTTGTGGGTTAGGAAGGAAGTGTGTTTACATGTAACTTTCTGTGATATGTATTCATAGTGACATTTTATAAGATTCTTTCATGGAAATCAAACGTTAGATGTGATAGTTATTGGATGAAAATTATCTTATGTTATAGAAAAATTAAAGTATGTACCTGCTTAATGAAATATCAGTGTTAGGGGGAAGAATCCTCTAGCATTAATTATGTACTTAACATACTGTCTAGCACCTAGTTATTCAATAGGTATACCTTGAATAACCAAAAACTATGTATGGATGTGCCTTTCTAATATAGGAATCAATTTCATCCTATAAAAGGAATCACTGGAATATGTACTTATATACCAATATGTCTATGTGTATTTCTATCTTTAAACCTATATTTATACATCAAATCCACATATACCAATGGAGGCTGGCAGAAAAAACTTCATAATTAGCTATTAGCCAACCCAGTTTGAGAAACAACTTATTTTCACAAAACATAATGTAATGCAGTGGGTAAAAATGATATTTGGTATAAGAAGCAAAGTAGACATAAAAATGCAGCCTAAATTTCCAGAAGATTTTATCTCTTTCAATTAAAAATGTGTTGGCCAATCAAAGAGGTCATCAGATGTTTGTATTTGTAAACTTCCAGCATTAACACTTTTACATTGGTCCTGACGTTGACTTGCTACGATATTTTCCTCGCACAGTTAGAACAAATTCCAAATGAGAGAATGGTCATAAGAGCACTTACTATCATTGGTGTCATGCAAGTGAAGGCCCTCATTCATTTTCCTTGTTAGTAACACTCATGTGTTTGGGGAAACACTCAGTGTGTGGAGCTCCCACGGGGCTGCTTTGGGTCGGCCCTAGTCCAGTTCGAGGAGTCTGGATATTCCCGTGCAATGCCAACACAACAGAGTCTATTTTCCCAAGGATTTACAATTATTCTCAGCATGTAAGGCAGGCTTTTTTTCATGTTTTAGATACGGGACTTGCCCTAGGGTTCATTCGAAGGAAGAGCTCAATGGCTAGAAAGTTAGAAAACTACCGCGTTAGAGCCTCCCGTTCTCATCTGCCGCAGTGTTCTTCAATGCACAGCCACTGTGATCCCTTGGGAAGGCAGTTTCGGGTTAGGTGATGCTTCTGCCCAAAGCTCTCCAGTGGCTTCTTACCTCCATCGGAATAAAACCCAGGCTTTACAACGGCCTGAGACCCCAATAGGAACAGGGTCACCAGCCATCAAACCTTCCCGTAGCCTCGTACCTTACCTGCCACACCCGCCTTGCTCACACTCTTCTGCCTCCATATGCCTCCTTGTTACTGCTTCTGCATGCCAAGCAGTCAGACCTTTATCCTGGCTTTTCCCTCTCCTTGGAATTTTCTCCCCCCAGATCTCAGCACGGTTCACCGCTACATCTCATTCAAATATTTACTCAAAGTATATCCTACCAAGGCCAAGCCTGACCACACTATCTAAAGTAGTTCCCCATATACCTGTTATTTCCTTAGTGTCTTATTTTACTGCTCACAATTTATCTTTACTGGACATATTACAATATTTATAGGTTGCTTATTTTTATCTGCCCCAATGAGAATGAAAGCTCCATGAGACCAGGGCTTGGTATTGTTCTCTGTTGTTTCCCCAATGCCTTGAACGTGGCTAGCATGCAGCAGGTGCCCGATTAGGATATATCTGTGGACCCACTGGCAAGAGTTCCTCTAGCTTTTTGGCCTGCTTGCTTGCTTCATGGGGAATCAATTACACCATGATGTTCTGGTGTAGCACTTTTCTCATCTATGAGAAAACTAAGCCTCTGGCTAAAGTCTGGAGGCTGGTTTACTTCCATGCTTTCCCGATAAGATGCCAGATAGAATCCCGAAGCAGCTGCGTCTCCAAGAGCAAGGAGGCTTGTCTTGCAACATGATTTACAACTAAGGCGCGAGGAAGGTACAGGGAATACAGAGCTTGCTTACATAGTATAAATTGGATTCAGCTCTGTTGACTTCCCCAGGATTTCACAGACATGTATCATGAAACGATTCCCAGTTTTATCCACATCTGCAAAAGAAAGACATTACGCATCCAAATGGAGCATAATTCCGCTTCTCGGCGTCACACGCTAGGCCTTCTACACTTGAAAAACAGACTGCCACATGCTTTCTTCAAGCCACTCTTAATCAAATTCACAACCTTAAAAAAAAAAACCAAGACCAAAACCTGGGCCACTCAGGGGCATGTCCTTGTCTGTCTTCTATGTTGTTAAAGTTTATGTCACCAGCAAACATAATATATATGTCGAGCGAATAGGTAAAAGTTGCTGTTCAGAGTAGTTTTTCAGAAAGACGCAACTGTAGAATTGGATAAAAAGGATTCCTCTTTTCCAACTTGCAGACGGATATCTGAATACAAATCAGTGGAAACGTATGGAAGAGACGTGTTGCAGAAGTCTACTTACTTGATAGGATTCCTGGCAGCATCCGGGTCTTGGGCTGTGACCGAGCCTATTGTTGTGTTTATCTGAGCATCTTCTCTTATCTGTAGGACGTAGGCCAGTTTGCTGAAGACGGGGGGCTCATCTACATCTTCCACCACAATCTTCACTGTGGCTGAGTCCTTGAATGGCCCCAGGGGGAGAAAGCGTTGTTCAACATGAGGGTTGGAGGCTTCCACTTTGAGGGTATACACTTTCTTCTTTTCAAAGTCCAAGAGCTTGGAAGGGGGGGGGAGAGGGAGAAGTGACATATTTAAAGCAGCCAAGACATAGACTATTTTTAGTGCAAAGCACTGCTAGTTGAAGAGGATTGAGTGCTTAGAGACAGCACCACACAGTGTGATGTAGGGTGAAGGTATGGGAGTTCAGGGGGGGCACGCTCCCGAGGAAGGTATGGGCCGTAGCTGGGCCTGCTGTTGCTTGGAAAGTGATGCAGGGGTGCTGGGTGTGATGGTCAGGAAAGGGAACCTGGGAGCAGGAGTATGTGAAACATCCTTTAAAACAAATCCTTCCATGTGACTCGAGGGAGCCATACCAGGGGCAGGTTGGCAAATACATGGTCGATTGGTCTAGGTCAGATGCTGTCACAGCTGGCTTTAACTGAACACCAAATGAGTGTTTAAAATTTGCCAATATCTGGGCCCCACCCTGGATCATTAAGCCAAAATGCCTGGGGGAGGGGCAAATAGGAATCTATACTTTTAAACACCTCCCCAAGTGATTCTGACGTGCAGCCAGAATTGAGAACTATAGGTTTGTATCATGATTCCTCATTCCTCATTCAGAAAAAAGAGATTTAAAATGGTGTTTTTTTTTGCATAAGGTGATAAAATATTCCAAGTGTTATCTTGATAAGGGCATTGGGCTAATTACTTGCCAAAGAAAGTAATGATCGTTGTTGTCAGAGGTCTTTAGGAAAAGTATCTTTGCTTCTGGAGACATAGTGAACCCACATGCTTATTGCTGACTTTGAGTTTTAGATAATAATATGACAAGGCTCACTAGAAACACAATTAATCAAGACGTTAGTGAATGTGATTTAGTCGGCTTGGCAAAATTTCAGTTTGAATCTGATAAGGCACCAGAAAAATTAAAAAGGTTAATGCACACTAATGGGCTCCCTAATTACATTATAGTGTAAAACATTGGTCTGAGTGTCACTTAAACATGTTTTATTGTGTTTCCAGTTATTAAGACCTGTAATTCAAAGCTTAAGAGGAAAACATTGTCTTGTTATGTACGTTTCTCTATATGTACATATACCAGCAAATCTATACCACCCGGTGTGTTAAAGGAGAGAGAAAATATTGATAAAGGTAAAATATTAATATTGTAAATATTAATAATAAAATAATATTTATCATGGCTCTGAAGCAAACAGTTTAGTGGGCTTAAATGTTGGCCACACTTCTGTAGAGCGCTCGGCGGTACTAGACAATTTGGAGGATGAATGGTGGATAAGTTTGTAAGGGACAAATAGGAATTCAGAATGTAAAGGATTTATTATTGTGTTCCAGAAAGTAGCTAAAGAGCTCGTAGGAAATCCGTGCTAATTTATTTTTGTGGTCTTTATATCATCTCTCTAATTAAGGTCCTTGTTATCCTTGTGTGTCTTACTCTTTTTCTTCAAAGCATGTACCAACATTCATGGTTACACATGTTCATTTGTTTATTTGCTTCCTTGTGTCTTGTCTTCCTACATTAGAAGTTCCAGGAAAACAAAGACCATCCTGTTGAATCAACCATTAAACCTCCAGTAACTAGAATGGTGTCTGGCACTGTTTTGTCATTTAACTTATACTTATTTTATGTAATTTATGTATATCATTTGTTTATATTAGTGTAATTAGACTTGATGCTTTAAAAAACTAATTAGTACACAAGAATCTAGAGGAGTGGTCACGTGAGATGTAATTGCTCCCGGTTACCTAGGGAGCAGAGAAATGTAAAGGCATTCATTTGTATGGTATATGACCAATGGCATTACCTTTTATAAAAAAATATTTTGTTTGTTTATTTTTAGAGAGCAGGGAAGGGAGAGAGAAGGAGAGGGAGCGAAACATCAGTGTGTGGTTGCCTCTCACGTGCCCCCTACTGAGGACCTGGCCCGCAGCCCAGGCCTGTGCCCTGACTGGGAATCAAGCCGGTGACCCGCTGGATCGCAGGCCAGCACTCAATCCACTGAGCCATCCTGGCCAGGGCAGCATTACCTTTTTGACAGTTATAATCCCTTCCTGGGTTTCCTGGTCAGTGATGACGTCAAACATGTCCAGCCCCTCTCCTTCTGTGATGCTGTACTCAATCGCGGCATTTTCTCCCACGTCGGCATCGCTGGCTTTGATGCTGCCAACTGGCGTGCCCGGGGGAGAAGATTCAGGGGTTGTAAACTGGTAGGTACCTATTAATCACCAGAAAGACAGAAGTCAAACACAGACCAAGTACACTCTATCATCACAGAAACAAAACCCATTTTCTAGCAGTTCTCTCAGACATCACCATGGATGCAGGCAGATTCATGCTTTCTTTAAAATAATTAGTGGTGCCCTATTCTCCTTTCATCTGCACTTTCGTGATGGTTAAGGATATTTCTTTTATCTCATACCTGTCTCTTTGCAAAGTGGTGAACACTTTTCTTGCCCTGTAAATAGGCTTTCAAGTTTATGGTGTGACTGTGCGAAAGACTGAATTGTTAGGGGTGGGCGCAGGTTTCCAAGTCTCCTGTTAATGCAATCTAGCAGAAAGAATGGAAAAGAATTTAACCTGAACTGTGACTTTAAGCCAATTACTAGGTATTATTTTAAAAGAGTTCTTTCTGTCATTGCTAATAATAACAGAAGGTGAAAATAAATTACAGCAATTTAGAGAATGCACCCTCGCAGCCACTCACTCAAACGTGGAGCTGGGCTGGTCGCAGTCAGGAGGATGGGAAAGACGCCGAGAGACAAAGCTCTTAAATTTTGTTATTGGATTATTTTTTTCTTTTAAGTTTTATTACTAGTTTTTTAAAAAGGTTTTATTTATTTATTTTTAGAGAGGGAAGGGAGGGAGAAAGAGAGAGAAACATCAATGAGCGGTTGCTGGAGGTCATGGCCTGCAACCCAGGCATGTACCCTGACTGGGAATCGAACCTGCGACACTTTGGTTCGCAGCCCGCGCTCAATCCACTGAGCTACGCCAACCAGGGCCTATTATTAGTTTTCATACGTAGATTTTCCCATTCTTGAATTTACATTCCTAATTTAAAAACCTATATTTCATAGAGAGATGCTTTGCTTAGGTCCTCATGTTGCAAAACTGGTGTCAGGCGACTACATGTGAGTGTCAGTGTAGATCGTAGAGGCCAGCATGTATGAAGGGCCAAAAGAAAAGAAAAAAAAGTAAAACACACTTAACTCTTCTCTCACCAATACATTTTGCCAACGATTCATGCAAATTCATTTGGAAAAAAAATTTGAACTATGACACCACTAGAGTATTGTCCTTCAATCATACTAATCCAGTGAATGCTGGGCGCATCCTTGGTAAAATGATAACCGGGCACATTTTTCTCTGGTGTATTCAACTTCCACTTGGGGTGCCTCTTACCCCTCTCTCTGCTCTCCCCTCCCTGGCCTTCCTACATTATCTGCTGACGATCGAGGGCTGTCCAGGCAGGGAGCAGAGTCAGGTGAGGTGCCTTCGGATCTAGGTGCCCTCAACCCTTTTGTTGTCCTTCCTCACGACATTTCCGCAGGGAAAAGGGGGTTTTGGGGGCGGGTGTTGGTGCTCCTGGTATTTTTAGTTTAGGCCTCTGGGAGATCTTTTAAGGCTCCTGAAGCCTTTGTCCTACTTATTAGATCAAAAATTAGTTACTCTGTTTTTGCATTAGTTAACGGATTAGTTAAAAAATAAAGAAAATAGAATGATTTCCTGTTGATCCATGTGTATCTTCATTATAAAAGGAGCCCAGAGTAGTTGACTGGCTTTAAAAATATGCCATGATCGAGTATGTGGGTTTTCTATTTAATAATGGGCAGCTGTTTTCTCCTGGAAGACAGGATTTGGGTCATTTTCTTAGGAGATCATGGTCAGAAAGGAATTTTGTCCCTGGAAGCAAAACTACATTCAAACCAGTGCCCACCTGAGGTGCTCTGCGGGAAAGGGTCTAGAGCACTGCTTGAGGCAAAGTGGGCATTTATGGGTGTGTGTTCGCTCTTCTTCCTTCCTACGTAATCGTGAGAGTTGAGGATTTTGGAGATGGCTTTCAGGTTCCCAATTAAGCATAATGTAGAAAACTATTTATGAGTACAAATAGATTAAGTACATAGTGATTTGCACAAATGTATTTTTAGAAACAGTAAAATGATAAATCTTCCTCTTACAAAGCTTCGTGAGGATTTAAAAGAGATTACATGGTTGATTAAATTCACAAAATATAAAGTCAAATGCTTCCTAACGAATAGCAGTCTGCTCGTACACATATGTTCTGCATAAGCAAATTTATGTTTGTGGTTTTCTTTTTAATAAGAGAAAATAAAACCATGATGTTGCTTTTACAATGACAGCTATATCAGAAATCGCTCCGCTAATTACCCATTCAGGAACATGAATGTTCACATCTACGGAGTGAAAGTGTTGTCAACTCATTCTTAACAACAGTGCCGGTTCTCACTAAGTTCATTAATTTTGACAATTGATAGCAATAATCGAAAATAAACGCCACCGTTCAACTTAGAGTTTTGCAAAAGTGCACCGAGGAAAGCCGTCAATGACATGCTCCTACTCTGGGGGAAGCGCGGCGGGTTGTCGTTGACGTCCGTCAGCGTGATGTTCACGGTGGTGGTCCCTGACAGCCCTCCCATCTGGCCGCCCATGTCCTTGGCTTGGATCACCACTTGGTACTGCTCCCTGTTTTCTCGGTCCATGTTGATCAATGCTGTCTTGATGATACCTATGGACAGGAAATTCAGAAGTGGAAAGGACTCTATTAAAAATGTTTTATGGGATCATTTGTGCAAACACAGACTGTCACCCACCACGTGCATAACGCTACACTGATGTCATGGGTGACATGAAAATGATTCTAGGTAACCTTTATACTGAAAGAAATGAAAAGCAAATGGGGAGATAGAGATTCAGAGGAGGCTGGGTTAAATATATCATTAAGATTAAAAAAGAAAGCACCTATGATACAAGGAGAATAAGTCAAATCCTACAGTAGAGACTGTTAAGTAGCATAAATATTAAATGCTATAAGATGACACAGAAAAAATGTAACCTGGCATGGAGCACAGCAGTATACTACTGAAGCTGCTTGATCTATTTAGGTATATTCTGAGGAACTTGTTACGAAAGCCACGCACATGACCTGACTCAGGTTTCACTTTACGGCTGGCTAATTGCTCAGCAAGGATGCCCACCATAATGAATGTTCTGGGGATTTTTATAAACCACAAAACTATGGTTTAAAAAAACCCACAGCATCAGTTCTTTCAAAATCATCATCTTATACGATCCAAGAGAATTTAAGTTTTCCTAAAGCTGATGTGAACATTAGTTCAACTGGTCCCAGCAGGGACCAACATTCTCAAGTTAGGTGAAGTTTACCTCTGTTGTTAGGAAGTTATAAAATAATGAGGTGGAAGAACTTCTGAAAGTTTGCCTAATCTCTAGGTAGGCTTTATGCTTACATAACAACATTCTTTTAAAAATCACCGGAGAAGGCTTTATAGCCCTTTCTTGTAGCACATTCCAGTGCCGAACCACTATGAAGCTGAAAATACCTTTTTCTGAAAAATTTTTTAACGAGAATACCTCAGACAAAAGGTCAGTTTTTTTCTTATGGTCCTGGCTTCAGTGAAAGTGTAGCTGCTTTCTGTTCTCTAAATAACCGTGTTTATTGAAATACCTTAGCCTTTTGTTCTCTAAGTTGAATAATTCTCAGTTTTTCATCCTCATTGTTTTTAAATTCAACATTTTTCTTTCTCCTTGGGCTACTTTCCAAGTTTATTGCCCCTTTTAACACATCAATTTCCAAGCAAACATAGTCACCTAAGAAGGTTTTGGTTTCTACTAAGAAGAATGGATGCTTGAAAAATGTTTAAAAGGAACTCGACTCCTATTATGATAATACACATAAGTGTAGAATTTAATAGACAGTACAAATGATATTTACTAAAATAATTCATCATAAGATAGTATGCTGTTTTGTGGAGAAAGGGCAGAAAAATGGGATGCTGAAAAAAAGGATTCGATTAAGGCAATCCACTTTATTAGAACTGGTTCAGTCTGGATAGCATAGACGATGGGTGATGACAGACAGTGCCCGATCTTAGTGGCTTCATACGACTCAAGTTCACTGTTCGCTCATGCTGTGGCCAGGCTGGCAGGACACTATACTCATCACAACACTCCAAGTTCTGGACTGCAGATGTATCTCAGCATTGGCTCCCCCCCAGGACCACTGGGGCACAGGGGAGGGAATATGGTGGGTTGTACACCAGGTCTGAAAGTTCCACTTGGCAATAACTCACATCACTGCCACACTTCATTGACCCAGATAAGTCGTATGGCTACATGTAGCTTCAGAGCATGGTAGAGAAATGCAAACCTATCAAATAGCTAGAAAAAGAAGAATTGGAAATAGTTGTCAACAGCCAAAGTGGCTATAAGAAGGGATTGGTCTTTTAGCTTTCTCCCTTAAGTTGGAAGGAAAAAATAAAGCAATGTATACTTTTTCTGAATATATCATATATAAAAATGGTAAAAGATCCATTGTAAAACTTCTTGATTAAAATGATCTATATCACTGGTATTTAGCAGGCAAATCTAAAAAAAATTCAATCACATTGATTGTTTTTATGAAAAAGCATGCTAGCTCAGCTGAACATGCCAGTTACAGACTATGAAAAGAAGACCAAAAAGGAATTCCAACCTGTTTCTGATTCAACCGAAAAGTAGGGCTGCCCCTGCAGGATGCTGTAGACGACCTTAGCGCTGTTCCCGTACGTCGGATCGTCAGCGTCGGTTGCATTGACTTGGACAACAAATGTGCCTGCAAGGACGGAACGTGAATTGAGAATATATTAAGGGCCCATTACAGATCTTAGATAAGCACACATAAAGAGAAAGCATGATTTCATTTTTGGATGAAACTGTCACGGCATGGGAGTGGGGAACTTCAACGTTATGCTAGGTTGAAGAGCCTTGGACTGTCGCTCTGAAGGAACGTGAACACCATTTATAAATACCGCAAGGATTAGGTGAAAGGGAACCGTGGGAGGGATCATGATGTTGGGTGGAACTGACTTCCATCTTCTCTACGGGTGGGATGTCATTGGAGTCTTGCTGTGGTGCTTCTTTTAAGTTATCCAAGCCCAAGTCAATCTGAATCCCGCATTACTTTGTCCCGAGGGATTAGTTTAGGGGTTGTCCAATCAGGGTCCCACTCATGATTTTTGCTGGACATGCTATGTCATAGGTGCTCCTTCTCCTGGACTGTAATGTGCTGAGGAGGAGCCTGCAAACGCAGCAGCTACTTAGTGACCTTGGAGTTGGCAGCCTGAGAACAAAGCTGAATAGGACAGGGTGTTAAGGAGGAAATAGCTAGAATCCCAATCAAACCATATCTAAAGCCCATTTCATTTCTGGACTTAAGTAGTGTGACTAATAAGCCTTTTTATTATTTGAACTAGTTTGAACTGGGTTTTTTTTTGTTACAGGCAAACAAAAGCATCCTTAGTGATCAATCTACCTGATAATTCTAAGAGATTGAAAGTCCTTGCACCTTAAAAAGGGGCAGTTTGGGATTAAATAAAGAATGAATTGAAATATAGAGGATATACATCTGGAACCTATAATACCAAAAAATGATTGCAATTAAATATATAAAGAAAACGATCATGTTTTATATCAGTACTCTTATTTTATAGACCTAAGTCACCTAACAACCTTTGAACTACCCTACCCTCCCATAAAATTCCATGCAAATTTTTAGGTATATTGCTTGCATGTATATTTCACTGCAGAGAAGTTCCATAGATTTTATCTAATTTTCAAAGGGGTCTGTGACTTCCCAAAAGGGTAAGATCCTCTGATTAAGATCATTTTATGGCTGACTTTTGGTATGCTTATGAAATAAATAGTAAGCATACTGCCAAGGTTTTCCTGTCTATGAACAGGGCAGGGAAGTTACATTCAGAGAATGCTAGGATTTTTACATTGCTGTTGTAATCTCTAACCCATACACTTATTGAACAAATATCAATATGCTGCACCATGTTAAGGTGGAATTAAGGAATTCCACCTTAATTAAGGAATTAAGGAATTCCACCTTAATTAAGGAATTAAGGAATTACATGTTAAGGTGGAATGCTCTGGAGGCAGCACATCAGTGCATGAATCCTTTCAATTTAGTGGGGGGGCTTGGGGAGAACGAGAGCATCACAGGACTTTAGAGTGAAAGCTAATAGTAGAAGTCAACAAACGTGTTCCTATTTCACATCAATACACGATTTAATCGCTTTTATGATATGATGGTCTGGAAGTTTTGAGCACCTGTTAGTTGCTAGATATTGTACTGGGGGCTCTGCTCTTGTTTTCTTCTTTTGTCTTCATGGTATCGCTTAGAAGTTGACATTTATTAGTTATTTTGTATAGATACGGAACTGGGGGATCAGAGCAATCACGTCATCTACCCGAAGCCACGCGGCTGCTTATTCGTAGAGATAAAACTTCAAACTCAGGTCTGTTTGACAGCAAAGTTCATTTATGCCACCCTGCTGTTGTTTCTCTGTGTAATTTCTTTAAGATGCCTTTATATTAGAATAACGACATACTAGTTTACGATAGTAACGAACACCAAGATAACCGTGCCTGTGTGCAAATCAGGGAAAGGCTCCCCTTTCTCAAAACATGTTTCTGTCAGCTACCCCCAAATACCTGCATGACATATTTAATTCTACAATGGCTTAAAAAGTCAATGGCACCCCCGATAGTTGCACGGTGACAACCTGCACGTCTGGTTACGTTGCCCTGGGTGGTGCTGATGACAAGACTATTACTTATTAATTCTTGCTGTCTTTTACCTCCCAGTGGAGAAATATTGTTCCTAACAAATCTTCCTCTTAAAAGAATTCTAATGCTCCTTTTCGTCTGGTGACGATCTGTGATTTTTTTAAACAAAACAAAGTAGCTTCAAGTAATGAGCAACAACGTCATGAGAAAAACTTACATATTTTATAATCATTTTCTTAGATTGAATATTTTCAAAGTCTTGGAACCGTGAACTGAAACAGCTCTGATATATGATTCAGAATTATGGAAACATTTTTTATTGTGTAATTTAGCCCTTCTGAACTTGACACTAAGTGAGAATTAAAATAACCCTTACGTGAGTAGTTGAATATTTGTCATTGTCATCCATGAAGTGGGTATCTCATATTACTTCAGTATCTCATATTACTGAATCAGTACCACATATTACTGAAGTGTAGTAATATGGCTAAGAGTGACGTCAGGGGAGCTCTTTTTCTTAGTTGAAATTCTGTTGACCTTCTCCCAGTCTAAGCAAATTAAGTGCCCACATATTAACTTTAAAATTGGTAGAGCTGCACACAAAATATTAATTTATCATATTTATGTCATGAAAGTCTCTTAATTTCCACCAGTTAGTAAAGGATATATATACTCCCTAGACATCCTCTGCATATTTTTAATGGATTAAAAAACAGTTTTCTTTGAGTTTCTTCTTCAACTATAGTCACTTATAGCAGCAGCCAAGCCTCTTCAGGCTGGACTGTCTGTCACTCTAGGCTCTCGTTTTCCCGGGGAGAGTCTGACTTGGAGCCTGATGCCCGTGAGGGCGAAGAGCAGTGGGGGAGGCTGCTGTTATCCCGCTCAAGACACAGAACAGGAATTTGGGACGGGAGAAGGAGATGAGATGGTGGCTCTTTCTTTTTCCTTCTCTCACACTGCCACTTTTCATACCCTCATGTTTAGAGGAACTGTCATTTTCTTAAAACCAATAATAAAATGAGACTAGAATAATATTAGGAAACTCGAGGTCCTTATAGAAAGGACCTAACTAGATGGAAATATGATGCTTTCAGAATGTGGCATGCATATTTAATCAACTGAGTAAAGTTCCCCCAGGGTCTTCATTGAGCTGATGCACTAGAGCAGAAACAGCACACAGGGTGGTGGTGGGGGGGGCACGCCTCACTCACCGACATCGGACATTTCGGGAACCGTGGCCGTGTACACCTCCTTGGTGAATATCGGCTCGTTGTCGTTGATGTCGTGGATCTTGATGATGAATTCAGACTCGGGTTCCACGGGTATCCCTGTCCTTCGGTTTACAGCTTGCGCTCGCAGGGAGTAAACAGGTTTTTTTTCCCTGTCCAGCCGCCTGGTGGCCTGTATATCCCCTGTGTTTTCATTGATAATGAAGAGATCTCCTGCCCCATCTCCTGAAAGGATATATTTAAGTGATCCATCTCCTCTATCCATGTCTGAATGTAACTAGTGTAGAAAAAAAAATTACAGAAAGTAAACGTCAAACATGTGATCCTAAACTGTTTATCTTCATTATGAATGCTTTCATTCAATCCTGTCTAAAGGGTGCGTTTTTTTTTCTTTCACTATTACTTAAATTTTAAAATACCATTCATTAATGAACATGTTTCCTTATAATCACAGAAATGTCCAGCATCGGAACAGAGCGTGGACAAAATTTAATCGTTATTTTGAAGGATGGAAACCTAAAAGCCAGAGCAATCACAAAATGCCCAAGGTCATATTGGACCGGCTGGAATGGAACTATTTTCACTGCAGCTTTTAGATTCTACTAACATGCTCTCCCTCACTTTATGTACACAGGCACACTCGAGAAGCAATATATTACTGAGAAAAGGATTTTGGTTTTTAAATCAGACAGACCTGAGTACATTCTGCCTCTATACTGAATTTAGGGAAGCTAGTAAATCTCTTTCAGTCTAATATGATAGAGATTATAATCTATTTTCTACATAGGTATGAAACTTATGTAGTTATTTATGAACCAGTGAATGCAATTCAACTCAAAGCATCTGAAAAACATCTTAAGGGCTACTATGGACTTTGCCTTGAAAGACACCTGATGAGATAATTTTCAAGGTCACTGGAAATAAGGATATTTCACGCTTAGATGTCAGTGTAACATGGGAAAGGACCTTCTAAAAAGTAGAGCCAGCCTCACACTGAATATTCTGCCTGAGAAACAAGTGGGTCCCTGCTCCTGAAGGAAAACCAGCAGGGGCTCTAGTGGGATTAGCCAGCGGTGCGGTGGGTGCGGGTAAAGGGCTGCATTGCCTGAATGGGAAGACGCCACCGAAGTGGGAGGGGACTATTGGCACATGGGAAGGAGCCCACGTGGCCTGTCCCAGGGACTATTTCCGAAGTGTTGACTTCCTGCTATTTCCCATGCTCCCTTTTCCCCGCTTCAGCGAAAGTTTAGGCAGCACCTCATAGGTCTTCAGGATCTCATAGGTTTTCTAATCTAACCCTTCTTACAAGTTTTTAACAAGTGCTTTTTACTGAGAAGAACTATTTTCAAACCCCACTTATAAACGTCAGCGGCATACAGACAAGTACTGTCAGTGGGGAGGCTGCTAATCTCTGTCCGATGTCAGCTCTGTCTGAACAGACAGTGACCACGTTGCCACCGTCACGGCAACAGTGGCAACAGGGAAACGAACTCTGTGCCCTCCCAGTTAACGCTGCATGGCGTGCTCAGAGTCGTGTCCAGAAACACACCAGAAAATAGAATTCCAGGGTGACAAAGGGATTTTTAAAAATAATGTAACCCTGCCTTCCTGAAAGTGTATCTATCATATGGAATATCATTTATACAAAATGCTGATGCAAAAGGATTCCGTGGCCCGAGACGTTTGGGAAATACTTCATAGTCTGCCTCTTTCTTGGAGGCATCCAGTGCCCATTAACTTATGAAAGACTGTGAGTGCCTACAGTTCCACATTGCACTTGACTTAATTCAGTTTAGCTCTTCTGGACTCTCTGATGTCAAGAACCCTCTCTGGGTGTGATCCGCATTGATATTTCCCAAAAAACACCATTTGGGAGACATGAGCTAACTGAATCCGTCAGCAGGGAGTCCAGAGAACTGAATTCCAGTTTGTGCAGTGTTTCCCAAATCACACGGCACACGTGAACGCGCCAGAGGACTAGCCATGCGGAGGCCTCACAGACGGTTTGCTGTGACCTCCGGGTTTTTAGAGACGGGAAGCTGTGCCCAAGGCCACCCAGCTAACACTGGTTAATAGCAGAGTTTGAGGGAGATAATTTTATTCATACAATTAGTAGCCTTGAAAGCAATTTGACAGAAATAATGGAAGATAAATGCAAACGGGGAGGAAATTACTTAGAAGTGAGACAAACGCAGTAAGAGACGTAGAGCAAGGGTACTCCATGATTTGCGTAATGCGATATGCTGAGGACACGTTGATACCATGATTGCACAGAAAGAGCCACTGGGGAAAGTTTAACTCTCTGCCGTCAAATTGGAATGACTGAAGAGAGCTCTTAAAAAGCCATTTCATTAACTCATGAGCAATGAAACCAATCTCACTGCCTGTTGCGTCCTGACTCCAGGGCAGCCACGGTTAGCATCTTGGCACCAGGCGGGGGCCCTGCAGCTGGAACCCGAAGTACAGGTCCGGCTCGTTCTTTTTCCTCCCCAAATGCAGGGTCACAGCAGCATCAACTAAGTGCCCTGTGCCAGGTTCCTGGTTGGTAAAACTCGGATAATAAGAGCTACAGGACAAGGCTGTGATGAGGATCTATGTAGAGCTTATATATAAATACTACAGTGATTGCTACCTAAACATGCGATAAAAACATGTGTGCTTTTATATGTTTTATAAATTACAAAGCTCCCTCCTCACTGAAAATACTGTTACTATTATTAACTCTTAATTCATAATGAGCGTGTTTTTGCTCCTTTTTTGACTTTGAGAACTTTGTTGTAAGGACTTTGAAAACCCAATCTTGCAAACACACGCTATCTCTAAGGTGAAATCTTGCTATGAAAAGCCAGTCTTCTTCTCCCAGGTGGCAATTGCTGTTTTATTTTCTCATGTGATTTATTATATTCTGTGTTCCACTAGATTGCAAACTCCCCTCGGCCCGTTCTTTCCTCGCTCTCCGTATGTAATTGTTGCACACTTAGTAGGTGAATCCCACATATGGCTACAAGATTTATTCAGGTAAAAGTAATCAGAAACTAATTTTTAGCTGTCAGGAGAGACCATTTCGATGACTTATAGAACAAACACCCTCGACGTTATGGGAGGGCGGCGGAGAGACCAACTAACTGGGTGAACAGGGATTGCTCTGCCGATCCCAATTCTGATTTATCAATATTTGAAAACTAGTGGGGAAAATGCACTTCTTCCCTCAGGCGATGTACGGTGATAACACCATTGAACCTCCCCCTGCTCCAAGTGCAGGGCGGTGGCTGAGGGAGAGCAGAGTAGTGGCAGCCTCCAGAAGCTTTCTTGAAGTTCTTCCCCTGTTTTCCTCCCCTTCCCTTGAACTGCACCTCCCCCACCCCCCACCCAGGGCCACTTCTTTTTTCTTTTCTTGGGGAGAAGAGGAGACAGAAGCCATCCGTGCTGGTGAAAGGCGTGGTGACAAGCAGACATTAGGGGTTTATTGAGCACTTTGATTTTAATTGGATTTTTCCTTTTGTGATGTCATTTATCACGGCCACTGTAAAAGGCAGACGTTAAACAACAACAAATGAAAGCTTGTAGGTTGCTGGAGGCATGTTTTTACTAATTTCAGTTTAATGTGCCGGTTCCATTAAGTTTAATCATCTGGTTCACTTTTAACGATTCACCATCAAGTAAAAATTACCAGCTTCCCTCAGAAAGTCACATCTCATCTGACTCCGGCAGGATTTTTACTACTGTACCTATGGCACTTTGTCCCAGAAGGAGCTCTTGGTCTTCGTTGGCTTTTCTGTTGATTTATTACTATTCTTTTTTAAGTGTAGCACTTCGACAAGTAAATACAGGGACCTGGGTTGTGGACATGGCTGGCATCTTCTTACCTGCTACTTGTGCCAGCTTTCAACTTGATTTTGACTCTAATTCAGAGGTAGAGCACTAATTGTACAGATTTCTAGTGGTTTATGAAACGTGCTATTGCTGCCCCATTCTGCTTGTTACTTGTCACTGGGTGACTGTGAGTCAGTAACCAAACTGAACCTTCCAATCTATGCTTAGGCAGAAAACAGAATCTACACAATAACTTACCTACAGGGCACACACAGGGAAGTACCCACAACATCCTGAAGGGGGCTTAGGGAAGGAATTAGGTGGTTTCTTTTCTTTTCTTTTTTTTTTGTAACAGTTATTTATTACCAAGTAATATCTACTGTACATAATTATATGCACTATACTTTTTAAAGTAGTTTTATTGATTACGCTATTACAGTTGTCCCAATTTTCCCCCTTTCATTCCCTTTCCACCCTGCCTCCCCAACCCTCCAGCATTCCACACCCCCTGCCCCGTTCATGTCCATGGGCTGTACATAGAAGTTCTTTGAGTCCTCTGTTTCCTATACCAGTTTTTATCTTTCCCTGTCTATTTTATGCCTGCTAATCATGCTTCTCCTTCCCTGTACCTTCTGTCCCCCATTCCTCCCTTCCCCCTCCCCACTCGGCTCCCTCTGTGTGATGTCTATTTCTCTGGTTCTGTTCCTGTTCTGGTTGCTTGCTTAGTTTTTCTTTTCATTGTTTTTCTTTTCTTTTAGGTCGTTTGTTAATAGTTGTGAGTTTGTTGTCATTTTATTGTTCATATTTTTGATCTTCCTTTTCTTAGATAAGTCCCTTTTAACATTTCATATAATAAGGGCTTGGTGATATTTTCTGAAATAACAAAAAATGGATTGTGGTTAATATGCTCATAGAGTGTAATGCAAGAGTAATCGTGGCCCTTTAAAAAAATGAAATGGTTTCCAATCTGAAATGTCAAAGGACCATCAGAGAACAGCTGTGGTGAAAAAATGTTCCTTGGCTGGGATTCAGGTGGGCAAACTGGAGTTACAGCAGAGAGAGTGAGAATAACTTTGTATTAAATAGCTTGAGTATTATTTTAAGTTAGGGAAATAAATCCATGATCAAGTTAGAGCACACTGAGGCTTAACTGAATTCAACATATATGTATATACATATTTGTGTGTATACATACATCTCTCTACATAATGCATGTATATGTAATGCTAATAAGTATACTTAATGTTGTGAAGGGCTTGTTGGGTAGAGTTTAAGTCTGGAAGGATTTCAACCTAGCTTGAACTCTATGGCCAGGATTACAAGTAGATTCTGTTTTAAAGATTTGGGGTTAGGTAAATAAAAATACCTTTTTTTAAAAAAATTATTTTTAGAGAGGGAAGGGAGGGAGAAAGAGAGAGAGAGAGAAACATCAATGTGCGGTTGCTGGGGGTCATGGCCTGCAAC